AACTAAAATATTTAATAATAATAATTTTTACGTATATAATATTCTTTTTATCAATTATTTTGTTATTATTGTTTAATCAAATAAAAAAGATTTAATAATTAATAATAATATAACAACAGCATTAATATATAAAACAATCATAATATTAACAATATTATGATTATAAATATTGTTGTTATTCTTAGTTTATTATTATTATTATTATTACTCACAATAAGAAATATAATTTCATTGTAATAAATATATATTATTTAAATAATATATTATAAATAAATATAAATCAAATTTTTTTCAATCATTAAATCAAGCTTTTATTTTTGCAAAAAACCACAGGAGCCCTTAAAGCTTCTCTTATGCTGACAGCAGTCGGTTTATAAGTGCTTCTCATTACAAGTGCGCATGTTGTGTTTATAAATGCAGGTTATAATCAACCCAAGCTCACAGACAGTGAAAACACGAGATCATGAGCTGCTTGCGTGTGAAGGCTGATTTATGCTTCTGCGTCGAACCTACGCTGCCTAGCCTGACGTGCACCTCTCCCAAAATGTCACGTGGACCGCAAGTGTTGTGATTAGGGGAGTAAATCGGATGATTCGTCACGATACGATACGATACGATACGATACCGATTCTCATACCCAGCGATACGATATTTGCCGATACCTCAAAAAATTCTACGATACGATTACGATTCGATTCGATACAGAAGTATATCGATCGATGTATCGATATTATGATATTATATACCTATTTTAAACAACCATCTACATTTTTATTAACTCACAAATGCAACCAAAATATATAACATTCATATAAAATGGGAAATTTTCACATCCTGGACATTCACAACAAAAAAATAGGCCTACACTTTTTTTAAAGAAAATAAACAATTGGAAAAACAATTCTGGCTGCTACTATGGGCTCAGTGCTAAAAATATTTTCTGCAGATAACCAAATTACAAGTAATAGCAGAAAATAAATACAATAGAACAAAGACACAAGTTCAATAAACAGTGCTTTTCAGGTTTTTCAGCTCAGTCTAAAATAAATTTTCAGGTACGCTACAGGAATGTAATAATCAAATGTAAAA